ATTAACTACTATTGATTGTTTTTTTTTCTTCAAAACTTATGAACCAAGACAACACGCTGTACACCGGGCACTAAGGGTTGTTACTGTAAAAAATCAATAAAACATTTCTAAAAAGAAAAGAAAGCACAGTTTAGAAACAACCATCTCATTCCTTTTTAAAATCAAGTAACTACATAAGCTGACAGCGCCATCATGAGGCTCTTACCAGTAAATTAGCAAGCTATTAATATATAAATTAGCAAGTATTTTAATATAAAGTAGTGCACTAAAATTTCCAGGATAGCAAATCCTGAAATTCCCCTTCTAGATTTGAACAAAGGCTTCTAAGTTGTCAAAAAAATACAGATGCTTACACCAGGATCTGCAGTACTATTTGTGCTTTAAAACATAAACCAAACCGATCATTCTGTTACAGAATGCCAGGACTGGTTATCTGGGCCACGTTAAAATGTTTTCCTCTAGTCCATAAGGCAGTAGAAAAATACACAGGCATAACCTGTGCTATCCTCGTTGCAAATCCCTATTATTCTCAGTGACAGTGAAGTTGACCAGGAATGCTCCTTTGACTTAAGGCAAGATAAGTAAGGAAATTTTATTTATTGGTGGCAGGGGACGTATCAGAAAAGTGGAAGAACCTGGCTGACTTTCTGATTTAAAGAGACCTGTTATGTGCCCAAGAGTAGCACTGTTTCTCAAGAGAGCACTAGACTTGTGTTCTTTCAAGAGAGGGTTAAGCATTGTATTATAAAGAACTTGTATAAGGCTGGACAGGCACTTCAGCAAGCACCAGTCAGGTTTTACCCAGACAGATATTTCTGCAGAAGCCAGGTGTTCAGTCTGTCTCATGTGCTAGTAGACAGATACCAAATCCAATCAAAATGGCCGTGGTGGTGATATCCAGTGACAAGAGAAGAGGGGGTCATGCCTGCATCACTCTAAATCCTGATCTCATTTTAAGGAACCATGCTAAATATCCTCCAAAAATCTCTTTTAGAAAGGAAAAAATGTTTTAAACCTGCAAGTATTAAAAACATATCTTTGCTGTGGGCTCTGGCATGAGACAAAGGAAATATTATGAGGACATACCATTAAGAAAAATACTGGAGGCGTTCATGTCATGGGCAGGGAGAAACAAGGAAAAAGTCTGAGGAAACTGAATGGAATAATGATTCCACCCATTGTCCATATGGAACAAGTGAGGTTGATGGAAACTGATATAAGATGCCTGGCAACTACAATATAAATCCATCTCATGTACTATTAGATACCAAGAGGGAGGGAGGGAGGGAGGGAGGGAGGGAAGGAAGGAAGGAAGGAAGGAAGGAAGGAAGGAAGGAAGGAAGGAAGGGAGGAAGGAAGGAAAAAAGATAGAAAGAGCGAGAGAGAGAGAGAGAGAGAGAGAGAGAGCGAGAGAGAGAGAGAGAGAGAAAGAAAGAAAGAAAGAAAGAAAGAAAGAAAGAAAGAAAGAAAGAAAGAAAGAAAGAAAGAAAGAAAGAAAGAGAAAGGAATCCTACTGAGTAGGCTCAGAAGCAGATCAATTCTTATTGTTAGTGTGAACTTGTCTTAATTCAGATAATGCTTGTTTTCATACATTTTCATACATTTCATACATTTATATGAAAATTCCATTGTATGAGATAATATACATCAAAATATGTTAAAAGCAAGTTCATGCAGTGATTCTTCACCATATTGAAATTTGCTCCAGATTACTGTGATTCTCAGTTGTCATCCGAGATCAAGAGTTGAGCTGATTTATTTCCAAGCACTGCTCTGTGATTTTCAGCATACCTGTTGCTGTGTAGACTCTTTGGAGACTTGAAAGTAGTCCCATCTTTGTGATGGGAAATTTCACATCTTCTCTGCCTCCTCAGTCCAGCTTTTCATTTTATGCCCTGTAGAGGATCAATTACTGTGGCATCTTGTCAAGGGGTTACTTTAAAGAATCCACAACTCTTTAAAAATACAACAAAGGGACAGGGAACTGACAGCTCTGCAGCTGTCCTCTTAGAGGCACCAATCTTTGAGAACTCAGTCTATACATAGGAACATGATCAAATGGCAGGACATAGATTTAATGCTGTTTTCTGCATTCAAATTGGTCTGGTAAGAGAGCAATGATTGCCTCATGGTTTTCTTGGTGTTTCAAGAAATAGTAGCACTAGGCAATGGCAGCTTAATATCAGGCTGCTTTTGAGAAAGTCAGGAGTTAAAAATAGTAGCAATATAGTAGTGCTCCAAAGTTCCAATTTGCAAGGAGGAGGAGGAGGAGGAGGAGGAAGAGGAGGTGACATCAATAGGCAGGAAATGCCATCTACAAAGCTAAAAAAACAGTGAACCCTGTAGTAGCTTCTCCAAAAAAGTTCACAGAGACTGATTACAAACAATGACATGACAAAATACCAAAAACAGTGAATTGGAGTATCTTTAAGAAATACCATTCGTATGCAAGTAAGAACTGGTGGGACCACAAAATAACAAAGTATTTGAAAAATGAGGAATATAGTGGACTGGAACTTTTAAATTCAAACAGACCAGCACCTGCCAAATAACACCCCTGACTCACCAATTGTTGATAAGAAAGATGGGAAAAGCCTGGATAATGAACATAGCAATACCTGGGGACAGAAGAATATCTGTAGAATAGAAAAAAACTGGAAAAAAGTCACAAAGTGTAAAGAACTGTTTGTAGAAATAGAACGACTCTGGCGAAAAAGCAAGGATGGTACCTGTAGTGGTAGACTTCTCAGGCATAACGCCAAAACATCTGGAGCACCACTTGAATACCATAAAATTTACAAATCACCATCAGTCAATTGCAAAAGGCTTGGAACAGCTTACATCCTGCGATAATACCTTTATTATTATACAACAACATCTACCAATCCCAGTCCTTGTGAAGGACTCAATCTATATAAATAAAAATGTAAATGTTCGTTTGTTCAAAATCTTAAATCTCCAAAAGTTCTTCACCGATTGCTTTGAAATTTTGACACAATGTTGCATTTGAATACGCACGTGTTTTTATATACCTATATTATATAGATGTCACACCTGTGACAGGTAAAAACATGCTTTTTTGAAAAACAGCACCATCTGTTGGATGTAAAAGCAGCACATGCTACGTGCGCTTTCTCTTTTCTTTCTTTTCCATTTAACCAGACTGAGCCACAGCAATGTGTGGCTGGGTACAGCTAGTAAGTGAATAAAAATGCCAAATCCAGTTTGAACATCTGGCTGACTGTGTGACAAACCATAATAATAAGTTGATCTCAGTGATACTTATTTCACCTATAGAAATGTGCACCATTTTCCCTGAATTGGATTATGGCTTTGACTTGGGGGAAATTAATTAAAGGTAATAATATTTTATCTTTAAGTTGGTTCCATTTCCAAACTTTCTCTCATCCTCCATAGATAGTTATTTCAAGGCAGGAAATCCTTTTATTAAGAGGCAAGATTCTTAAGCTCTTTCTGAACCTTCCTTCAATAGCTCTAGAAGTACCACTTTGCACTCACTTTCTTGATCCTTTGGAACAAGCATCACTGCGTGTAACAAGATGGTTTTTAGCAAAACTTGCACTGGCAAAGATGAAGAATATCCAGGAGTTTTGTACATACTTCAGGTGAAACCTGGCTCAAAAACAGTAACTGTAACAGGGACCTTGGAATCCTAGTAGACAGTCACTTAAATATGAGCCAGCACTGTGCAGCAGCAAAAAGCTAATACAATCCTTGGTTGTATAAACAGAGGCACAGAATCAAAATCACATGAAGTATTAGCACAATTTTATAAAACCTTAGTAAGATCACACCTGGAATACTGCATCCAGTTTTGGTTACATTAAAAAAAATATGTTGAGACTTTGGAAAAAGTGCAGAGAAAAGCAACCAAGATGATCAAAAGTCTGGAGACTACAACATATGCAGAACGGTTGCAGGAACTGGGTATAGATAGTCTAGAGAGAAAAGAAGGACTAAGAGTGGCATGATAGCTGTATTCCAGTATTTGAGGGACTGTCACAAAGAAGAGGGGGTCAATTTATTTTCCAAAGCACCAGAAGACAAGATAAGATCAATGGATGGAAACTAACCAAGAAGAAAAGCAATCTGGAATTAAGGAGAAACTTCCCAACAGTGAGAACAATTAACCAGTGGAACAGCTTGCCTCCAGAAATTGTGCGTGCTTTATCACTGGAGGTTTTTAAGAAGAAACTGGACAGCCACTTGTCTGAAATGGTATAGGGCAATGGTGGTGAACCTATGCCACGGGTGCCAGAAGCGGCACTCAGAGCCTTCTCTGTGGCACGTGTGCCGTCGCTCCAGTCCTAGGCCTTCAGCTGGGACTTATAAAACCTTTTCGCTTTAGGCCTCTGTCACGGTGTGCAAAAAAAAAAAGGTTCAATCAGTCAATTTCAACTTCTCGCGGGGAAAAAAAAAGATCTTGCAAAGTTGGAATTGATTGAACTTTTTAGTCACACCCAGTCTGCCGTTACCACTGGAGCCATGCCCACCCAATGGGCCACGCCAACCCAATGGGCCACATCCACCCGGCACTCGACGATGCATAAGTGGGTTTGGGGTTGCAGTTTGGGCACTCGGCCTCTAAAAGGTTCACCATCACTGGTATAGGGTCTCCTGCTTGAACAGGGGTTTGGACCAGAAGACCTCCAAGGTCCCTTCCAGCTCTATTCTATTCTGAAGAATTCAATCTATGAGGCAGCAATCCAGGACCAATTAAGGAAAATCTTCCTTATTTTGGCAAGTACGCATGGGAAGAGGATTTTTTTTTCCCTGAAGGGGAAAAGTTAAAAGAAAGCTCTTGGGCTGATGTTTTATCCCAGGCCAAGATTTAAACCAGACTCAGCTTCGTTGCCCTCCCATAGAAAGACATTACTATTTCCATAGACTTCCTACCAAACTGTGTGCAGAAATCATTATTTAAGTGACTTATATTTATATTCCCTGGTTCTACTGCAAGTGAATAATAGAGTATAATCAAAAGTCAAAAATCATCTAGCTTTATTTTCTTTTACACAATAATTATAATTAGAACTGGGTCATTAACTTTAAAAGGAAGAATCCTAGGGCATTTTTTGTTAACCAAACTGATATATAGGGAAACAAGACAAGCAGTGAAGGATGATGGGAATATTCATGGCTGTCAGCCAAAAACACTTTTTGTAGGCTCTGATTTTGGTTTGTCAAAGACGGTTTCTCCTCCGGTGCATTCTCGGCTGAAGACAGATGGCGCAGCAGAGCCAGCTTGCTCTGAAAAAAGAAGGTAGCTGATTAATGCTTCAGCAAGAATAGTTCACAAACCGAAGGATAACATAATAAGCACAGTAACACCAGAGTCTACATCATGTATGTTTCAAAGCAGGGACATGCAACCTGTTCAGACGCACCAGGCTTTGAAGGGGATGTTCTGAGTTGCACTCTAATCACCAGGTGGGACTAAAATCACCAATGGGGCAAACAGAGCAAATATTCCATTTGATTTATTTATTTATTTATTCAAAGTTGAATTCAATGGAAAAATTCAAAGGGTTCCTCGGGTTTCATCACTGGAGCTCAGTTTATAAAGATCCAGAGCAGTGGTTCTCAACCTTTTTAATGCCGCGACCCCCAACCAGTCGTAAGTTGAGGACTACTCAACCGGTCGTAAGTCGAGGACTGGTGCAGCACCGTTTGCAGAATGGGACTTTTGGCGGGCTCAGCAGGGCAGAGACAGCCTGGACAATTCCTATTGGCTTTTGAAAGCCAATAGAATTAGACTCTATTCAAGAGAGTCTATTCTATTGGCTTTCAAAAGCCAATAGAATAAAAGGGAGTAGCATAGCTAAGGAAAAGGGGGGGAAAAAATGGCAGACTGCGTTGTTTGGCGACCCCCGTGAAATGGTCGTTCGACCCCAAATGGGGTCCCGACCCACAGGTTGAGAACCACTGATCCAGAGGTATAAGAAGCAGAGAGGTATTGCAATTAAAAGCTTTGTGTTTTTAAAATAAAAAAAGATGGCAGCTCAGTATGGTGATAGCAGTATCTCTTCAGGAGAATGTGTCTATGTTTTCCTTTTTCATGACTGGGGATAAATTATTCCTGAGTTATTTTAATAATCCTTGCCTCTGGATGAGGGAAACTTTGGAAGATTATTTTTATTCAGGAGACATACCACTCCAAAAACATTCCACAGTGCATAGAAGATAAACCTTTGAATGATCAGAGCCGAATAAAACTGAACTTGCAGTTTTCATATTATATACTTTTACCCCAAGTCTCTGTTTTTAAATCATCAACACACTAATAATTGTTAGCATTTTTCACAATCTATATACTAATCTGGGGGACTAATAAGCTTGTTTAGGATTTGTGCTATAAGACTGAAGACATTTAATTATTGCTTTCAAGAAGACTTTGTATATGTTTCAGCTTTCAGATTCATAATAAATATTTTAATACGAGGATTTATATCAATATTATTTAATTTGTTTTCTTGCTTTTTAAATGATTTCCTTGCTTTTTAAATAGTTTTCCTTGTTTTTTTCTGATTATATCTGTAAATTTCATAAATGCCTAAGAAAAACCATTGCAATACTTTGACCTAAAACATGACCATTGTCTATCTTGGGAAGCTGTTTGTCTAAGAAAATAATTCTGTGATTAAAGGATTAAGTTACAGGGTATCACTGATTGTAAGGAGAGAGTGAGCAGGACAGAAGTGTTCTGGTTATCTCTGATTTATTTCCCCCCCCCCCCCCCCCCCCCCGGGACATTACAGGAAGAAGCTGAAAGGAACAGGAGACCTTTCCTGCAAATGACCTTGCCTTTGGGCTCATTCTCTTATATCCCAATTTGGGGTTTTTCTTAACATAAACGTTTTACATTTAGTCAGAGATGATTTGTTAAATAAGGACAGTTTTCCTATTAAGTAGGTAAAGCTGTAATAGGATAGAGCTGGTCTGGCCATGTAATTAAGGCACCAGGCTAAAAATCAGGAGACTGCAAGTACTAATTCCACTTTAGCCATGAAAGCTGGCTGGGTGATTTTGGACCAGTCACTTTCTTTCAACCCACATTGTCAGTCTCAGGTGTCAGGCTAGTCAGTCAATTCCTGTTGCAACCAAAGGATGAATTTTAAAAAAGCAGATCCTGCAATTGCAAAAAAAAAAAAAAAAAATGCTAAGAAGAAACAAATAAAAAACAAGGCTGTAACAGACAATTTTAACTCGTATTTCCTACTGTGCTATGTACAGCTGTTGATACTCAAATATTAACTTCATTTTAGTAATGATCATAAAATGGCATAAGATATGTAAATACAGGAAAGCCTAATTCACCTTCTTCTAAGAAAGTATACTCATTTACTTAATCTTATGATGCTGGTAAATCTCTTGACTATTTATGCTTTTCTTATTTTTCTGTTCTTTTCTTTTAAAGCATGCAATATTTTAAAGTGTTATCCTTCCGCTTATGAGCTGGCAGAAAAATAGACTGACATGCTTTGCACTGCCTCTCTATGCAATCTCAGTAAGGAGGCGGGGGGGGGGGGAGGGCTGCCCTTAGGATTTTAATGCAGGACAAATTAAGGAAAATTGTGAGTAAATTCTTCGAGCTTTGTTTTCCTTCTTACCAAACATGCTAGGTATCCACTAATTGCTCCCTTAAGGGCTGAAGATCAGATGAGTGTTGATAGATGGCTAGCCTAGTGGGTTGAACCATTGAAAAAAACTTGCTCTAGTTTTGTGCAAAGGCAACCAGGTTTTCTGCAGCTACCTTCAGGGTTTCATACAGTTCTGGAATAGTTCTGTTTAAACCCATGTTTTAAAGTCCCTTGTCAGGGGGGTGGAAAGGCAGTTGGGGCAAAGATTATGAAGTGGGAAGGAAGTTTCTTAGCTGAAGATGCACGTGGCTTTTCCCCAGACTAGTCAGCATCAGACTTGCAATTAATCTGCAAGGAAGCTAATCTGTAAACCCCACCCTCACAGATCAGCTTCAGGGGATGAGGTGGGGCTGCCTTTAGAGACAGAAACAGTTCAACCCCAGCCCACCCTATGAACCAGGCATTCCAGTAGATTGGGGGTGGGGGGGGCAGAGGGCAGGACAGTGCACTAAAGCAAGATTCTCCTTGTTTCAGTGAACATCCTCTCTGCATCCACGGTTCAGCTGCTTCTGACTTGGGTTGATCAGTGCTCATTGCAGGGAATCCACCCTTTCTCTGCTAGGTCCATATGATCAGGGATCTGGTTGGGAAAGAGTTGGCTCCCTCTACCTCCTTCCTTCTGACAGGGGAAGTGGGGACAGATGAATCTTTAGTGTACGTAGGGAGATTTAAAACAACAGATTTTTCTGATTGCCAAAATCAGAATGGCCCTGGCAAACAATGCCCACAGAGTCTAAAATAGAGCCCCTGACTGTATTATGCACTACATCTTCAATGAGACACTGTAGATCAGGTGTGTCAAACTCGCAATGTCACGTGATGTGTTGTGACATGTCGCAACTTTTTTGCCATTGCGGCAATGGGGTGGGTGCGGTTTCGCTATGATGCATCCGGCCCGCGGGCCAGCAGTTTGACACCCCTGCTGTAGATTGTTCCTATGGTAACACTTCATTCATTTATTCATTCATTCACTCATTCATTCACTCACTCACTCATTCATTCATGTTATATAGCTACCCATCTCAAACCAGTGACTCTGGTTGGCACACCATCATAAAAGCAATCTAAACAGTTAAAACACAATACAAAAGGAAATTCAATGCAAATAGCAGTCAAGAGATATTATAATCTGTTGGTGTCAATGTAACTAAGAAATTACACACTTGGGATCCTAGGCATACAGCCAGGTGTTCAAGGCCTTCCAAACAGCCAATAAGGGTCAGGGCACTCCTCATCTGAGGAGAGAAGATGCTGGTATTGTTGGAACTGAAGATGGATATAGGCAACTATTTGTCCTCAGGCTAAATTTGTGAAACAGTCTATTTCCTTGTCTTAAAGGTGCTTTTTCAAAGCTGAACAAGTTTCATTAACAGCTTCTTGGATGAGAAGCAAAATGTATTCTTCTTCTTCCTCAAGGAAAAAAACCAGTCCAGTTGCTTTGTTGAAAAAACACCATTGAAACAACTATGACCTGGATTACTGAGAATCTCTATATGCAGTCTATTTCTTATTTTACTTTCCATTCCATATGCCATGGCACAACAGGTCAAGAAATTTGTTTAATATTATTAGTCAAAAGGATTGAAGATTCTCTATTATACATTATTTCAAGGCAAGACTTCAGTTCTTAATGCTCATTATTGGGATTTATGTTACTTCAGTGAACTTAATTTACAGAGGCAGTATGGCATTTAAATAGCATTTAAAAGCAGAACTGGGACCCCAAAGTAAGCTTTTATCTTCTTGTGTCACAAGAAGACAAAAACCAGAGGCAGCTGCCATTGTAGCAATAAATCCAGCATGAAAATCATGTAGATGCATCACACACTCCCTCACCACACGGCCTCATGACTTGATAGGTTTTGGATTTGATTTCTTGTTGGCTAGACAGTTTTCCTCTGGCTCCTTTGAGATCTTCTTCTTTTACTGGAGGACGTTTCTTTTTCACAGGAGCTGGCTGAAAACACAAGAGAAAGAACATTTTGTAGCAGAAAATGTAGTAAGCTCAGGTAGCAGTCACAAAGATATAATTGCAACATCAAGCTGTTTGAGCAGGGTGGTGAGAGTCATAGAAACATGGGGCTGGAAGGAAATAGTTAGGAAAACTGCCATTAAACCATTAGCCAGGATATCTCAGCCAAAACTTTTGCAGTCCTCTGCAGTTATTAAGAGAGAAGACAGTCAGGTTCCCAACCTCTCATCAGGGGAGGGAAAAATAAACCTGGACAGACCTTTTCCATGAAGGAGTCAATGCTCTTGAACTTCTTGTCCCTGGAGGTGTCCCTGCTTTTGGTTTTCTGCCAAGCCAGTAAAAGTTACATATTCTGCTTTTGAAGATTTTGGTGATGGTGGGCTACCACTTTCCTGGGTCTTGACTTCAGTCTTTCTATTTATGAGTGTTTTTATGTTGTTTCATGTCTTGTTTTATTGGGATTTTATTACTTCTTATTATATTTGAATGCTGGTAAGCTACTCAAAGTGACTAGGTGGAAATGAAAGTTTACAAAAAACTAATTGGGGGCATTAGACACTCAAGAGTCAAGAAGAAGGATAACTTTCAAAAGATTTTTAGGAGAAAGATAAAGTTTACCCCACAATTATTTTTATTGGGTGTTATTGTAGATTGTGATGCTAAAGAAATTAATTTGATGTTGAATTTGATAACAGCTGCAAGGTTATTGGTAGGGCAATATTGGAAGAAAGATTGCTTGCCTACTATAGAAGAACGGACGCTTAAAGTGTCAAATTTAGCAGAAATGGCGAAAATTTCTGCTTACTTGAAGGATCACTCACAAGAAAGATACATTTCGGTCTGGAAAAGATGGATAGATTATATTCAGAATAAATATGGGACTAAAAAGTTCCATTTAGTTTATGAGTAAATTTTAGAGTATTATTATTATTAATAGTTTATTATAGTTGAATTTTTATTAGTTTTATTATTATTTTTAGTATTAGTATTGTTTAACAATTTGGATATTGTATTGTTTAATAATATTGACTTTTTTATATTATTATGTTTATTTTTAATTTGTTTATACTTATGTTAAAGGGGAGTTAAAGCGCATTATGGACTTGGTTATTTATATAGTTGGTTAATGTTAGTTAGAGTTTGATTATTATATTTGTAACCCTGTACTCAGCTCTGGGAAGTGGGAGAGGGAGGGGGGGTTTAGGGTGGGTGGGTTTTGGGGTGTATACTGTAATTTTTATAAAATTTTTCAATAAAAAAAAGAAGGAGGATAACTGGTCCATATTTGCTTAGGAAAAAACCCTCTTTTTTTGATTGAAACTTAAGTATATTTATGCACATATAGCAATGAATCTAAATTTTAAAAAGCCTCACTGATTTAATTATGATGAAAGACCGAGAGAGTTAGTGAAGGAGATGAGTGGCATGAGGGTCTGGATGTGTGAAAAGGCCTAGAATGGACCCTGCAAAAAGGTATGGATTTTGAAAAGGAAAGAAGAAAAAGAAGCGAGATTTGCAAGCAGAATTATGGCAGAAAGAAAATATATGGCTCCTGTATGAAAGAGTAACCAAAGATTAATTTCCCAGTAAAATAAATGAAAAGTGGGCATAGAAAAAGAATGTGTGGATGTGAATTCTCTGGCATTGTTAGAGTGAAACTGAACAAGTTTCAACTGAACAATTTACAATGCCTTGGTAAGGCCACACTTGAAATACTGCATCCAGTTTTGGTGATCACGATGTAAAAAAGATGTTGAGACTCTAGAAAGAGTACAGAGAAGAGCAACAAAGATGATTAGGGAACTGGAGGCTAAAACATATAAGGAAAGGCTGCTGGAATTGGGTATGTCTAATTTAATGAAGAGAAGGACGAGGGGGGGGGGACATGATAGCAGTGTTCCACTATCTCAGGGGCTGCCACAAAGAAGAGGGAGTCAAGCTATTTTCCAAGGCACCTGAAGGCAGGACAAGAAGCAATGGATGGAAACTAATCAAGGAGAGAAGCAACCTAGAACTAAGGAGAAACTTCCTGACAGTTAGAACAATTAATCAGTGGAACAACCTGCCTCCAGAAGCGGTGAATGTGCCAACACTGGAAGTTTTTAAGAAGAGACTGGATAGCCATTTGTTTGAAATGGTATAGGGTTTCCTGCCTGAGCAGGGGGTTGGACTAGATGACCTCCAAGGTCCCTTCCAACTTTATTATTATTATTATTATTATTATTATTATTATTCCACCCAGCTTACTAGATGAGGAAGAAATGGCATTTCGTAAGTCATAGGGTAAAGGCCTGACTTGTATTAGCTCGAAATGGCAACTGTTTTAAACTTCTAAAGTCTTTTGTTTCAAGCAACAAAACAGCTTCATGATAGTTTCAAGGTTTTCAGTGTAAAAGTAAGTATATTTTTTCAGTGCCAGTGTAACTTTGATCACTAAATGAATGGTTGCAAGTTGCAACACTGTATGAGTGTTGGAATACATGTTAGAATGTATTTTGCATTGCAGTAACTACAGAATTATTCAGCCAGTAGATAGCAGTGTTTAATTTGCATCTATGGTTATAATCTATGGTTCCTTTATGTTCTGAGGAGAGTTTCCTGAGACAGTTGAAATGGTTAAGCAGCAAGCCCCATGGTGACTGTAGACTACACTTTATTTGATCTGTATGATTATGTAGCCATCTTCTGCTACCCATCTGTATGGCTGTATAATAATCCTCTGCTACCATTTCTATAGAATAAAACAGAATTTCTAACAATGGGCCTTCGATTCAAATGAAAAAGCATACACTCAAAGAAATGTCCATACAGGTAACCCTCAACTTACAACCATTCATTTAGTGATCAAAGTTACAATGGCACTGAAAAATGTGACTTATTTTCACACTTAAGGTTTCACACTTATGACCACTACAGAATCTCTATGGTCACATGATCAAAATTCGGGCAACTGGCATGTATTTACGGAAGTTGCCCTGTACCAGGATCATGTGATCACCATTTTTAGCCTTCCCAGATGGTTTCTGACAAGTAAAGTTAGTGGGGAAAGTTAGATTCATTTAATAACCGCATGATTCACTTAACAACTGCAGCGAGTTGCTTAGCAACTATGGCAAAAAGGTCATAGAATGGGGCAAAATTCACTTAACAACTGTCTTACTTAACAATGGAAATTTTGGACTCCACTATAGTCACAAGTCAAGGACTACCCGTATTTAGGAATCTTTAAGTATCTGCACAGAGAACATTTATTGTTGACATCTGAACTAAATGTAGAAATCCTACTGCAGCTAATGTAATTTAATTGTAAGAGACAATCAAGGTATCTTGTTTGTCAAAATTACATATCATGGGACAATTTGGAGAATGCAGGGCAGCTTTATACCGGGCAGTATACAAACCAGAGTTTTGCTCTTCAGAAGGTCATTTGAAAATATATGAATGAAAGAATGAAGATTAGACTTAGACTTAGGATAGGATAAACAAATAGGCTAAAATGCTTTTATGTAATTGTGTAGTTGAATGTGGTAAGAGAGAAATACAACAGAAATAAAGGTAGACCTTGATTTATGACCAAAATTTCTGTTGTTAAATGAAACATTTGTTAAGTGACTTTTGCCCCATTTTAAGACTTTTCTTGCTATAGTTGTTAAGTGAATCACTGCAGTTCATAAGGTAGTAACCTGGTTGTTAAGTGAATCTGGCTTCCCCATTGACGTTGCCTGTCAGAAGGTCGCAAAAGGGGATCACATGACCCCAGGACACAGCAAAGGTCATAAATGTGAACCAGTTGCCAAGCATCTGAATTTTGATCACATGATCATGGGAATGCTACAAATGTCATAACTATGAAAAATGGTCATAAGCCACATTTTTCAGTGCTATTGTAACTGTGAACAGTCACTGAACAAACTGTTGTAAGTTGAGGAATACCTGTAATGCATGTGCCAGGCTATAATGATTAGTGAATAGTTCAATACTGAGCCAGGAATAAGAACAGACTATGTAATATTCTCATGACTATTTAATGCATTTATGGATAAATATACAAGAAATGCTTGTGAGGACATCAGAAGTTATTCGAAGGCATGGACATTTTGTATTTTTGTATGCATACGACGCCACATTCTGAAATGAGATCCTGAATATTTGTAGAAAATATTAGATGCAAATTTTAGATGCAATATGGAGTATGGCTATGAATATCTAATTTATCAAAGACTAAGGTGATTGTATTGCACAGAAAAAAAGGAATGAATGATTACAAGTAATACATATATGGAGAAAATTTAGAGCAAGTATATGAATTTGTGTATTGAAATGTGTCTACTAAAAATGCACAGAGAAATTTTAAGATGTCCAAATGCTGTTAGAGTGATAGTGGAAAATATGCGTTCTGTTTCTTTGGGAAACTAAAATGCTGTTGCTCACTTTGTTACGTGTATATTTGTGTAGGTCGGGAGAAACATAACCATTGAAATGTGATAGTTAAGAAAGGTGTGATATAACAAGAACAGGTAAGAGTCAAGAGTTAATGTAAGCTGAATAGAAAAGCAAAGAGTGAAAAAATAAAGAGTCAAGAGAGTTAATGTAGGCTGAATAGAAAAGCAAATAAAGAGTGTGAAAAAAAGTACATTGAAGTTGTTTAGTCTTATGGAAAGAATGAATCAGAGTTTCTTTGCAAAACAAGTACAGGAAGGAGTGAATATATCAAGAAGACCAAATAAGTTGTAGTTGCATAGAGATTGATAGTGAGATTCTGTAAAAAAGAAAGATGAGAAATGTAAAGAACAAAAGGCATTTTATTAAGCAGTAAATTGTTGCAGTAGAAGTAAGTATGGTTGGTAGGCAGAAAACTCTGGAGAGGTATAGAAAATGGAACTGGAATATTGAAAAATTTTAGTTATGATTTCTTTTTTTCTTATCTGTAGCATACTATTTCTTATACTTTGTGCTCTCTGCTTCACACTGCATACCCTAAAACGGAATTGTGTGGTGGGTAGATAGATATTGAATTTCTTTTTCACCTGCCTCCATGTCGTTGTGCACATCATGGTTAATTAAGTTTACTTAAGTAACCATCATTCCTATATAAAAAAATCAGTCAAATAAACTGCTGCAGATTTATATTCAGCAGGATGAAGACCATCTGTTTCAGCTAAACAACTTGCCAAGGAAATCTAAAATATTAAACAGAGACAGTATAACCCATCTGCCTCTTTGCATTTTAAATAATGTAAGCTGTGAAAGTTACCCTCAGTTTGCAGACTGTTGGTTTTACCATCTCCACCTTAACATAGTGCTTTCTTTTAAGATCAACATTTGGCTCATGCATGTTTTATGGGAAGTAATAAAAATGAAGATAATTAGCACATTCCTTGGTATATGTAGAGAGGTTTTGGGACATACATCCAGTATAAGAAAGATAATCAAATTATTGATTATCTTTGTTATAAAATGGAGAGGGATCTTGGAGTCCTAGTGGACAATCACTTAAACATGATCCAGCAGTGTGCTGCAACTGCCAAACAAGCCAACACAATCCAAGGCTGCATTAACAAGAGGGATAGAATCAAGATCAATCACATAACATGTTATTACCACTTTATAATGTTTTGGTAAGATCACAAAATGAAATATTGCATATAGTTTTAGTCACTATAATATAAAAAGATGTTGGGACTTTAGAAAGAGTGCAGCAAAGAAAAACAAAGATGATTAGGGGACTGGAGGCTAAACATATGAAGGATGGTTACAAGAATTGGGTGTGTCTAATGAAAAGAAGATCTAGTGGTAACATAACAGCAGTGTTCCAATATCTAAGGGGCTGCCACAAAGAAGCGGAGATCAATTTATATTCCACACCACCTGAAGGCAGGACAAGAAGCAATGGTGGAAACTAATCAAGGAGAAAACCAACCTAGAACTGAGGAGAAATTTCCTGACAGAACAATTAACCAGTGGAACAGGTTGCTTCCAGAAGTTGTGGTGCTCCAGCACTGGAGGTTTTAAAGAAGAGATTGGACAACTATTTGTCTGAAATGGGGTATCCTGGATTAGAAGACCCCCCTAAGTCCCTTCCAATCTGTTATTTTGTTAAGTTCCAATTTCTACTGAAATGAGAGAAACTCATAGTGAAAAAAATGAGAACCCTCTTGGGCAGAGAGCAGAGAACCATGAACCAGACATGAACATAGGAGAACTTCTCTCTCCATTGTTTTACATTCTTTACTTTGGCTACATATATGTGAAAGAATGAAGAAAGAAAGAAAAATCCTTTGTCTCATGGACATTATATGCTACACTATATGTTACATATAATAATCACATAGTTGTCAACTAATGGGTAATAAATAACTGGAATGAGAATGTCCCAATCTCATACCCTCTAAAAATGTTGGACTTCAACTCTTGTAATCTTAAGAACTACATCCATTAGTCATGCTGTTTGGACATTATGGGGATTTCAAGACACCAGGTTGGAAAAAAATTATGTCCTGGAATAATGGATGATATGTTTTGTTCACTGGCCAACATTTAGTACAACGAAAATGTGTGTATTACTGTGTCCCTGCAGAAATTTTCCAGTTTTCATTTTGGTAATAAAGTGAAAGAATAATAACCACAGAAATTTCAGTCCTACAGTTTTGATTTAATATGGTCTCCTTTTTCATTCCCACTTACTTCCATGTCCATACTGGGTATTTTGTGTTTATCCAGCATAATTCTTGTATAACAATGACTGAAAATAAGTATAGATTGGTACAGACATACATCTCCTGTTCAAAATATATTTAATGAACAATGCAAAATTTTTGAAGAATTTTAGGACAGCTACAAGCTGTAGCAATATGTTGCCTAGCTTTTTTTTAGAAATGTTTTATTGATTTTTTTACAATAACAATCCTTAGTGCCTAGTGTACAGCGTGTTGTCTTTGTTCATAAATTTTGAAAAAATTCCCAGTCAATAGTAGTTAATTAATAGTCAATAATAATTAATTTTTGTACTTCCATAATTAGAAGATTAATAGTATATTTCTTTGATCTTCCTTTCTCCTAATAGTATTCTCCTTCTTCAACCTTAAACAAATGTAATTCTTCATATTTTCAATACATAAATGATTAAATATAAACATTTTTTCATGTTTGTACAAATAATAATAACATCTATGTTTTTCTGGCTTTTTGAAGCATGCATCAAAATAGTGTGCTTCACCAGAACAAATTGTTTCCCATAATAAAAATCCCAGGGAGAAACAACATCCAAGATCAGCAGTGAGACTATTCCCAGAATTATGGAAATAACATGCAATAATTGGCAAAGTTTGCCAAAATCCTCTTCTCTCCTTGCACACTCAATAACAAACTATCCTACAACTTATCTGAGACAGACTGATGAAAAATATACACTCTCCAGTAGTCCTTTCAGCTCTGATTTAGGATTTTGTTGTTCAGTCGCTAGCTGTGTCCAACTTTTCTTAATTCCATGGCCACTGCACACCAGGTCCTCTCTTTTTCCACTGTCTCCCAGAGTTTGTTCAAATTCACATTCATTACATAAATTACACTAGATCTAATAATCTCATCCTCTGCAGTCCCCTTCTCCTTCTGCCTTCAGTCTTGCACTATATCAGGGTCTTTTCCAATGAGACTTCCAATGGCCAAAGTACTTGAGCTTCAGCTTCAGTAACTGTCCTTCTAAGGAACAGTCAGAGTTGATTTGACTGATCTGATCTCCTTACAGTACAAGGGAATCTCAAGAGTCTTCTCAAGCACCACAATTTGAAAACATTAATCGAAAAGTTTAGGTCTACAGTTCTTTAAATAGCCTCTCCCAGAAGTTTCTAAATAGTTGTGACGCATTCCTGCTCCCAGATTTCCTTCCATCCTGTTGTTTGGATTAAGAAGTTCCCTGCTTTTATACATGAATGTTCCCCTAAGTATATGTGAATTATCTTTACATTTTCATCCTTTTCCAACACAATGGAAAAAACTTCAGATTTGCCAATATCTAATCAAATAATTAATCTCAATATTGTAAGATGTTTGCTGCCAAAATAAGCTTAATTCTGTTAGAAATTAATAGAACCTTCTGCTCTTTAACCAGCCCTAAGAATTTTGATCTTGCATTCAGCAAACAAGACCCTCAAGAAAAAGGAAGAAATATATTTTAGCAACATTTGTTGCATATTGTAAATAAAGCAGAATTCTGCAGACAATTGTAAATGAAAGCATTTTATTGAGTAATATGACCGAAGTGTTTTAAAACACTGGTCTATAGCTTTAAACATATTCTATGAGAAAGAGAAAAAGAGAAAGCTAAGCCATACTTTGGCTACTGCTCTAATTTAAAATAATTGTAAGCTAATTTTTCACAAAGAACATTTATTATTGCACCAAAGATGCCAGTAAGACTGTGCAAGCAAAAAATCAATGAGATGGAAAATAAATCATGAGTTTTTTCATTTCTTACCAATGACTAAATCCACCAGAGTTGCAGTTTCTCTTAGCAATAGTTATGATAATTCTTGTAAATTAAGCAGTAGAAAAAAAAACAATCATACCTGGGACATTGTTGTGACACTTTTTAAAATACTGAGTCTGTAGTTCCTTGGATTAATATCCAAACTCTGCAGTAACCTACTTCCTTTAGCTTATATAGGCTCTTCTATGAAGTCATTCTACATGATCATCTTCCCAGTCTAGCTTCTGGAGTGTTTAAGGTTGACAACATGTTACTGTCGAGAGGTTTATTCTTAGCCGTGACTGAAGTTTGTAGCATTTAATAAACTGTACGAGTGGAGTGAGAGGAACATTACAAACAAGAAAAGACAGCTGCGCTAGCAGAGCTATACAGAAGCCTTGTCCTTTCTTTAGGAACAAGTGTGTCTTCAAAGGAAGCCCTGGGGCCATTTATTTATAGCTATAAAGGGCAATGCTTTTATATTGCAGATGCTCCATGAATGTAGAAGAATAAAATACCTACAAAAACTTGCTGATCCTCAACTGGAGCAGGAAATATCTGTCATGATATTAATCCTGGGATGAACACTTTCTACAGGTGAATCAATGAAGAAGTACTAAGCTATCAGAAATAAATCATGCTTTGAGATGACCCTAGCCATCACTTATTTTATTTAGGTTGGATTCCTAGAATATTTCAACTTCTGTAAGTAGTTCAAAAACTATAGCTAGTTCGGAAATAACTTCCAGGGTACAAACAAGAGCTAAATGTCAACTGACATTTGCATTGATTTGTAAGCATCTTTCATCTAATGTGCTTATATCCCTTTAAATTTAAGCAGTGGTGAGATTCAAATATATGAACCGGTTCTCTGTGTGGATGCCGCTTCTAGAAGTCCATTCTGGGCCTGGGCAACAAAAAATTAACTATCGGTTCTGCTGAGGTGGTATGAAGTGGCTGAATCCCACCACTGCCTTTAAGTCCCTACATGGCATAGGAACTGGTAATGCAAAATAAACATTTGAAGTTCACAGAGCTACGAGCAATTTGCAAGCAACTGGAATGAACTGCTTTACATTTTCAAGCAGACTATTCAGTCACCAGTTTTTTTGCCCAATATAAAAAGCAGAACAATGAAGCCACTGTAGATACTATATAATCTCCAAAAGATTTTCTACCTATTTCGGTTAAACTGAAAATAACTTTTTCCCCATTATTTTAAAGTGGTTGGAGCATTGTTAATCTGTGTGGCATCAATTTGTCAGTTGCTAGAGAGTACAGGTAGTCCTTGACGTACAATCACAATTGAGCCCAAAATTTCTGTTGCTAAGTGAGACATTTGTTAAGTAAGTTTTGCCCCATTTTTTAAACTTTTCTTACCAAAGTTGTTAAGTTAGTAACATGGTTGTTAAGAAAATCTGACTTCTTCATTGAGTTTGCTTGTCAGAACTTCGCAAATGGTAACCGCATCACCCTGGGACACAGCAACAATCATAAATGAGTCAATTGCCCACTGTCTGAATTTTGTTCATATGACCACGGAGATGCTGCAATGGTCATAAGTGTGAAAAATAGTCATAAGTCACTATTTTCAGTGCTGTTAGTGAATGGTCACTAAATGAACTGTTATTAGTTGAGGACTCCCTGCATAAGAAAAGCAGGCTTTGGATGATCTGCAGGTTTATTTATGAACTTGGACAGTATCCATGCTTCTGGTTTAGTACAGAAAATCATGTAGACAGGTAATGCAAATATTTCTTGTATTTTGAGTGATGGTTAATCCATTCTTTGTTCAAATGGCTTTTTATAATCTATATTCTAAGAGGACCAATTTTCTTTCTTACATGCCCGATTATGTTGCCTATGGACTGTTTTTTCTTAATTATATTCAGTGCTACCAACTCATTCAAAGCCTTAAAAAACTGCAAATGAAACAAAACTGTGTGTTCCATACTTCATGAAAAACATTAATTTGGGTGGTTTGGGTCTGAACTGAAATGTACCTATTTATTTATTTACTTCATTTCTCTAGCCAACCATCTCAACAAATGACTCTAGGCCAGTTTTTCTCAACCTTGACAATTTTAAGGCATGTGGACTTCAACTCCCAGAATTCCACAGCCAGCAATGCTGGCCGTGGAATTCTGGGAGTTGAAGTCCACATGCCTTAAAATTGTCAAGGTTGAGAAACACTGCTCTAGGCGGTATATAGCATGCAACATAAAAAAAACCCAATACAAAATAAATACATATGGCAACAAGTAGACCTGCAACCATGATTGTTAATAGAGCAAACGAACGGAGCCCTTAACACACTCAGGAGCCAGGCCTGGGTAGACAATCAAATCTTTGCCACCTTATGAAAGGCCATCAGATTTGAGGTCATCCTGATCTCTGAAGGGTGAATGTTTCAAAGGGCAGGGGTTATGGCAGAGAAGGCCCATCTCCTGGTCCCTACCAGATGACACTGTTTGGCTGATGGGACTCATAATATGCCAAAGCAGCCAGAAGTTTCCTTAGGTAATCCAGCCCCAAGCCATGAAGGGGTTTAAAGATGATAACCAGCATCTTGAATTGCAGCTTGGAAACACACTGGCAGCCAATGCAGCTCCTGAAACAATGGTGTTACTTATGCTGAATATCCAGCACCTTTACTACCTGTGCAACCACATTCTGCACCAGTTGAAACTTATGAATGCTCTTCAAAGGCAGCCCTGTGTAGAGCACAGTGCAGTAATCCAGGTGAAGGGAATGAGGGACTGTGAGCAAAGCTTCCCAACCCAGGAATGGATGTACTAGCACAAAAGATATCCAAAGCCTTCTGGCCCATGGATACCACTTACTCTTCTAGCAGGAGCTTTGAGTCCAATAGGACCCCAGATTATACACCGGGTCAGGCTGGGGCAGTGCCACCCCATCCACAACAGCAATGAAAAAAATCTTGTTGCCAGAAGATTCAAATACCCAAAGCCAGTCTATTTTGCCTGAACTGTGTCAAAGTCCTTTGCTCCAGGACAGGGACAGGACACCAGGCAGCCTGGGGTAGAAATATAAAGCTGGGTATTATCAATGTATTAATGCCTCACCTTAAACCATCAGATCACCTCATCCAGCAGCCTCATGTAAGGAGAGAAGAGAGAACAGAGTCTTGAGACACCCCACAAAGTGGTGACTGTGGGCTGGATCTTTCCCCAGCCATTAGTCTCCCCCTCCCCCCCAGTTTGACTGCAGAAAATCCAAATTCTCAGTATTCTTCTAATTTTAAGGAAAGTTTCTGAGTGCTTTTTCTTGTTTTCTCAAGTATTCTATAGGAGTTAGTTATTCCAAAGAAGATTGTCCAGTGCCTGCAGAAAACCCTGAAATCAACATCACATAACAAACATTGCATAAGCTCTCTTGCTCTGTTTCAAGCAATGCAACACATCTAATTGTTTCCATTTGTCTTATTGACTGGTCTAAATTAAGAACTTGGGGGCTGTTCTTTTTAGGAAAAATCCTTCAAGCCCTTTCTTTTTCTGTTTCTGGAATCCCTCTGCAAAACTTTTATTATGCAACACTTTTTCTAATTAAGTTTCATTTTATGTGCCCAGATATCTAGGTTCTGCTTCATTGTTTTTAAAGCTGATGTATTTTAAGCTATTCCTTTTATTGCTTATATCATGAAGATTAATTACTCCCACTGCAACTCCCCCTCTTTTCAAAGATGGACTATAAATGAGTAAATAATACTAGGACAAAAATAGTTCAGAGGGAGACGAGGGTTTTCTTTTTCTTCTATGTTTTGTAAGCTCTTTCCTCCATACATTCTTTTTCTACACAAACTCACATTTCTGTATTCAGCCACTTCTGTCCAAGTGAAAGTGTTAAATCCTGGTTGTAAATAAAATACACAAGAGAATGCTTAGGGAATGCTGATTCCAAGTATCGCCATACTGGTATTAATCTCCATGAGTTCCCAGTCATGTATCCCCTATTTTGGTATTAAAGGGAATGGGAAGAATGCAGAAAACAATCTTTTTAAATTTAGGCCAGAGGTCTCCAAACTTGGCAACTTTAAGACTTGAATTCCCAGCATGGCTGGTTGAGGAATTCTGGGAATTGAAGTCCACAAGTCTTAAAAGAGATTTAGACCATTGGGCAAACTTAGAATTTTGACCATAGAATAGAATAGAATAGAATAACAGAGTTGGAAGGGACCTTGGAGGTCTTCTAGTCCAACCCTCTGCTCAGGCAGGAAACCCTATACCATTTCAGACAAATGGTTGTCCAATTTCTTCTTAAAAACTTCCAGTGTTAGAGCATTCACAACTTCTGGAGTTAGGTTGTTCCAATGATTAATTGTTCTGTCAGGAAATTTCTTCATAGTTCTAGGTTGCTTCTCTCCTTGATTAGTTTTCACCCATTGCTTCTTTTTCTGCCTTCAGGTGCTTTAGAGATTAGCTTGACTCCCTCTTCTTTGTGGCAGCCCCTGAGATATTGGAACATTGCTATCATGTCACCCCTAGTCCTTCTTTTCATTAAATTAGACATATCTAATTCTTCCGAAAACTGGATTTTGTGAGGGAGTAAATGGCATTTGCAACATACAGCAATGACATTAAAATGATGACATGCACACAAGATCAATGTGAAAATGCTATAATTACACACTTGTTGTAGGAGATGACCAGGCTGAACCTGAGGAATGGGTCAAACATGTCATCAGTAATGAGTCTCTTTGTGCCCACCAGAGGTCTAAATCCAGCCCATCTTGGAAGTCCTTTAATTCTTATCTATCGCTAATTTGCTTGGACCTTTAGTAGTTCAGAATCTTGTATACAGATTAAACTTGCAATAAAGCTTTATACCCATTTGAACTGCCTGGATCTTCTGATTTCTCTGACGCATGACACTTCCATCCCAATGTCTGACAGAAGTATTTAAATTGGGGTGCACTGTCATTTGACTCCCTGACCAGAGACTTGAGGAACAGGGTGGGGGAAGTTCTCTATTAACAGCTGGCTGTCACAAAAGGTATAAACACTCTTAGGCTGTTTTACAGAAAGCAAATTGGTGATACCTCTGCTACTCCTACAAGTCCATAAGTAGCCTTTCAAATTATTTTTGGCTCTCATCTAAGTAACAGCTCAGATACAGCCATCAACTTATTTTTTAATACTAATGGAAACATTAAAGTGATGCAAAGGTTGGCACTTGCTTCGTAACATGCCAGCTTCTCATTTCCTTTGAATTATTCATTTATTTCTTCAAATTTATTAGTCACCCAACTCCAAAAGTACAAGATGAAGCATAGCAGATGGTACAGGAGGGATCTGTAGACAGCACATTGGTGACCTCAGATTTAAACTTCCTCTTATTCACAGAACAGACTTGTTGAGCAGAGCATGGATTCTTTGCAAGAAACAGGTATCCCTAATCATATAGCACAGGAATTCCCAAACTATGGGGGAAAATATGAAGACATTTCAAGAGGGGACACAAAGATATGACCTTCTTAGGGTAAAAAAACACAATAATTTTCCAATGAAGCTCAAACAAAATGGTAAATTTGACAGAGTTAGTGGGCTAATGGAAAAAATGGGAAAGTCCTGGGAAGATAAGGGAGATGCTCACCTCCCACTTGGAAGGTTGAGAGTTCATTCCTAGGTAACGGATGTTTCTCTCCTAGGGCACAAAGGAAAAAGATCTGCTGTGAACTCTGCATGGCGTCAGGAAGGGCATCCAGCCAATAAACGCTCAGTTCCATCTAGTCTCTCCAACTCTATCCCAAATTAAGGCATCGTAAAAATTGAGTTATAGGATATGCATACTAATTTGTTAATAGTTCTTAAAAAGAAAAAAACGTATTTGTTGATTGCAGATGGAACATATGTGATGTGGTTACAAAAAAAAGCAGACGCACTTTAAGCCTGCATCAATAAAACCATATTTTTCAAATGAAAGAAAGTGATCATTCTACTATATTCTACTTTCTTCAGATTCCACCTTGAATGTCCATTTCTGGGCAGTACACTTTAAGAAGAAAAATAAAATGAAACTGGAATAGCTGGGGACATTTACTTTTGTGAAGAGAGTGGAGGTAAGAAATATAATACTCTTCAACCACTTGAAATTAAATCATACAGAAGAAAGTGAAGACTTGTTATCATTCTAAGATGCAGGATACAGGGATTTAAGCCGAATGGAAGGTAGTTCCATCTGAATATCAGAAATGAGTTTTCTAAAATCACAATCAAAATACAGTACATAACAAAGATGGGGAGGGAAGGAATAGAATATACAGGGGAGAGATGGGATCTATTATTGGTCCATCAGCTATCTCCAACATGATAATGGGTCCCCCTTCATTGGAGTGGTGGCTTGATCAGTCTGGCATGCTCTAATTTGATCCTGTGTTAAGAAAGGGGTTGAGCTTGCATGGTCCCCTCCAACAAGAGGTTTCTATGATTCTGATCTCTACTACCAGTTAAAACTATCCCAAATTACATGTAGGTCATGTGTTAAAGGCATGTAATGACAGATTTGTATCAAATCAGATTTTATTGTAAACCATAACTTAGGTACAACACATATGATTTCCATTTTCATAAAATACCAACAGTAAAATTATGATCTGGTGGGCCTTATGGTTTCCCTTTTAATGCTGTAGGACTAACATTCAGTTTTGTTTTGAGTCCCAAAACTACATTGTGTATTAATTAGCAAAGGCTGGATCCAGTCCTTATTCTCACTCCTTCTGCCTTGTGCTTTCTAAAAAGTTGTTTCATGGGACAACACAGGAGACAGCCTTGGAGAAAAGTAGAACTGGTAAAATCAGTGTTCTGACCCCTTCTTCCAGTGGGGAACATCTCTTGGCTTCCAAGTTTCATTCTCCCAAGTTTTCCCATTTATGGACACATCAATTTGGAATGCCCCTTTAAGTTAAAAAAAAAAAAAGAAACGATTCAAGATGTTTATATATCTAAAACCATAATTTCCCCATCATTTACTGAACATCAACAGTTTTGATGCATTGAAAGTCTCCTATAATCCAATGTGGCTGAATCTGTGTGCTCGCCATTATCACCCTTTTCATATGGAAGCTACAATCTGCAATCTGCTATGCACAAAAAGCACAAAGACCCACCTTGTGGAAAAAGAAAATGTAAGGCTGCACAATCTGGCCCTGCCCCCTTCTTTTCCAGCAAGGCTTAATAGGAAACCTAAGTAAGCACCTGCTTGTGAAGGAGTGGCTCTGGGACATTTTGCATTGTTTTAGTTTGGTTCACAATTCAACGAGTTTGAGGTCTTTTCCCTGAAGAGAAACTTAGCGCACGTTTCACCAGCAACATTTGTACAGAACGTTTTACTTTTTCCTTAAGGGTAGTTGGGGAGACATTAAAACACTGAAATCAAAAAAATGAAGGCTGCATTAATGACCGCAGGATTTCTAAAACAATTATGTTAGATATCTAAAGTCTTGATTTTATGAGGGATGTTAATCTTGATCATTTCATTTCTGTTTCTTAGCCATTTGGAAATGGGAAGGCTTACATTTTTCTCCAGCAAATTCAACATTCCATTACAAATTTCTAAGTGTAGAAAGACCTAAATCTCAGACTCGTTAGAAAGAGATTAACATTATTTTTTTTAAAAAAGCATTGACAGAATCAAACGTAAGAAGAACATTATTTCTTCTTTTGAGCTTCAGATCAGGCTGCTGGGCAATGCCATTCAACACAAAACAGTAAATGTGAACTCTGTTTAACGGTGGACTGTTTAAACACATTTAAGGCTTTGGGTTTGGTGTTTTTAGAACACCCCCCCCCCGCGGCAGCGACACACCTATCCCAACTGTTAAAAGCAGTCTGTACAAAATAGAAGTCACTGGATAAAATGAACAAAGTTTTTGCATTTCGACACACACTATTAATATTCATAAGGCAAACAGAAAATAACAGTTGTTTGGCATTGTTTCATTATCTCTTTAAAAAAATCCATTTTTCTGAGTTTTCATTCTGTCATACAGTTTGAGGACTATGCTGCTATCTACTTAATGAATTGGTAAAACAAAACCTCTTTAGATATCATGGTTGATAAACAGTGATTCATAGTATTAGAATTATATAGTAAAAACATAAAACCAGCATGGTAGGAAGCAATATTAATCAAGGGCACTGCCCTATTTCTTTATAGGAGCTTTTTTTTAGTGTTATACTCAAATAAATAAATAAATCTAAACACAAAAAGGAATGTACTGGAAGAATGTAGAATAAGACAACACTTTCTTCTTCATCTTAGAATTACCACCAATCAAAAACAGGAGAAAACCCCACTCAAAACAGCAGAATCCACTTTTGCCTCCTAAGCCCAATGACCTGTTTGAAAACTAGGATCCTCTTTAGCTTATTCTCTCCCAAACAAAGTATTCATAGAAAATTATAGAAAATGCTTTGGAAAAGATCTGCGCACCTATCAATGAATATGCTTAAGGCTCAAAATATAGTCTCTCTCTCTCTTTCTCTCTGTGTATGTATTATATGTTTGTTTTTTATCCTGTTTTATATCTTTTGCTATTTAATTGAAATGAGCATGGAAAACAATCAATGGAAGCTGGCCCCTGAAGGCTCTTGAGGCACTTCTGTATCTTGGTTATCTGCCCCCAGACAGGCCTGCCCACCCCACTACCTATAAAGATTAGCCATCTTGCTCCTCAACAAGCATCTTGGCATTGGATTTGTAGAGTTCAGGAAGCAACTTACAAGGGTGGGGGAAGAGGGGAGAAAGAAAACCTCTTTTCGAGATATGCAGTAGGAAGTAGTATGTTCCCCCCCAACCTTAGGAAGGTCCTTAAACATTTAACTGTTCCCAGGCCTTGATTTAGTATCCCCCAGGCTAAATGAGGGATGATGGGGAAGAAATTTATGTTTTCTTTGAGTGTTGTTTTTCTCTCACCTCACAAATCTTTTTAGTATATATATTTTTTTAAAAATAGGAAAGCTGCCCAGATTCATTCAAGAGTTGGGCAACCTAGAAATTTAATAAATTTGAAAAGAAGAGGCAGGGAGAAAAGACGGAAGCATATAAAACCTATTGACCAGTCAATTCTCAAGTTACCTCTTTCTGCTATGTATTAAAATTGGACAGTGATTAATATGTAATGTATATATGTACGTGTATGTATATATGTATACATATATAGCATATAGCATATCTGTGTTATGTATGGGTATGGGTACATATATACTTTCTTTTGAGAGCAGGCAACAGAATTTTATTTTTAATATGGATCAATGTACTCACAGTAAAAAATGACAATAAAGGTTATCTTATCTCTTATCTTCATCAGAATGGCTGCAAATAGCGTCTTCAAGTACATGCTAGTGCCAGGGCAGAGTAAGTGTAATTTAATCCAGACTAACCGCAGAAGCATGTACAGTGTAATTTTGTTTAGATTGTTATTCCAGAAGCAGTTCCTTTCTTCTTGGAAGGGTCCTGTTATAACAGTTATTGAGGAGAAATACTTCTGGAGTTCAGGGGTGCAAGTGGAGGAAACGTTGATTTGTCTTTGGAGGGAATAGGATTAGGGAAGAAGATATCAAGTACTTAAACTTTTCAGTGAAAGTCTGCATGCTTACAATGTGAACAGATATCTAAGGGTTTGGCAGGCAGTGTTTATGTCGATCATTCAAAAAAAAAAAAATCCTACAATTTTATTTCAGTTGGTAATTGAACAAGAATTTAGAAAATTATTCCAAAAAGCAATTTCAGAGAGATTCTAAGAGATGTGGTATAGTGTTCTTACATTATTTTTGATGTGGTGGCTGAGTATTTGAACCTCTCATCTTGAACTATATAACAATCTCCTAACAATTTTCAGCCTCACTTTTGTTTTTTTCAAATTGGGAAGGGTAAGTAGCCAGGGAAGCTTATGAATGATAGAAAAGTGTGTCACAGAAAACAGCAGTAGTTGCTTTTCCCACCTCCAACAAAAACACTATCAAGAGAAGTAATTCTCAAATACCCTGACAATATGACAGAAAAAAAATATTTAAGAAACTGTAAGGCAGGTTTTGGCACAGCACTAGTCTGCTTTTTTTTTTTAAATAATTATACAGTAAATAAGGGAAGAAAGAAGTTTTGACAACTTTTTAAAGCCCTTGGTTCAGGCTTTTGTGTATTTGGGACAGAAAATAAATATGTGGAAGGATAAAACTGACATAGTGGAAAGTTGTCAGTACAAAAATTAGAAGGAAATCTCTGGGACCATTCTTAACAAGACAGCAGTTACAAATATTTCAGGACCCTAGATCTACAATTTGTGTTCATTATGCTTAACACTGCTTCTCTCATTCCCAGAGATACAGCAAATTTCCAAAAATAGTTTTAAGTATGAGCTTCTAAAATGTAGCATACATACTCATCTGCTGTTAAAGGCTCATAATAGTTTAAATACTTTTACTGCCAAGACAGATAAAGATCTATATGCCAGTCTACTTGTTGTTGCCCATTTTAGAACAGAGCAAAGCAGAACAGAGCAGAGCACACCGGAGGAAAAGCCATTAACCTGCATTTAAAAACTAAGGAAACATATCAAGATGATCACTCAAGTTATCCTTCTCTCTGCATATAGGCAGCACAACTCTATCCCTAAGCTTTTTCTGGAATAGATACTCAGTGGAATGGTTGAAAAAAGTAATAGATTGAAGAAATCATCAGAGAACCAAGTACATTAATACACCAATGTCCCATTGTCTTATAAAAGATTATTAATCTTTTCATGTCAATATTAAGGAATTACACTGCTGTGCACTACTGAATATTTTTAGTGCCATCACAAGAGACGAGGATGAGGCCAAAACCAGAATAAGCTGGCTCTACTTACCATTGGCTACTGTTTCCTCTGCCCTACCAAACCAATAGGCACTGCAAGTAGTAATGAATCGGACTATCATGCATCCCAATTAACAACAGGCATACAAGTATTTCATCAACAGAGACACTTCCCAGTAACCCTAGGGTAGCCATGACATTAACATTAATCACCACATTCATTATGCTATGCTTTGATTCTGGCCTATCCATCTGAAATGAGACTTAACAAAAAGAAAAAGAAAAGAAAAATGGAGAAGAAGTCATAGCAATTCATGGACTCTCTAGCAGCCAGCTGAACTGTACTGACAAGAAGCAAAATGCTCTTATCTGTGCCACATTAGCTTTTCCAGACAAGGAATGTTTACTGAAGCTTTGGGATAGTTTTGTTGTGAGATCAAAGGATTTGCAAATACTGAAGAAACCATTATTATCCAAATAGCTTTAAGTGTTTAGTTGATATACAGAAGAAAACCCTGTATTTGTTGCTTTTCCACTAAAGTGCTCAGCATACACACAGAACAACAGCCCTGTTTTGAAAATGATCACTGCTGCCACTTCATTGTTCGAGGGGGCTTCAGGTTCTCTTCAGAGCAAGGCCAACTCATTCTAGAAAGCAATCAGCTGCCACTTCCCTTTGTCCCTGCACTATCCTTCTTTATATGATATAGACAATGGAAAACCATTTTTGTTGCACATCTGACCTTTTAAGCCACACACACTAAGTAATAGCATAATTTCTTTGACAAAGAGAATCCTTAAATATCCCAGTATGAAAATATAACTTAAATATAAAAGTTTAAACAGGTTAGAATAGATCTGAAAAGAAAAAAAAAACTTTTGCAGCCCATTAGTTCCATAGGTACCATTCATCTGTAGCTGTAAAACTATTCTGCTTCAGCAGTCTGCTGCAAACATCTTTTTTTGTGTGATAAAACATACTGTTTCAAAGTTGTCAATCCTCCTGTTACTTTCAGAGTGTCATTGAGGAATCACAGTGAAATGATGGCATTCTTTGCCTATGTTCTGAAGGTTCCCATCCATCCAAATCACTGTAGTGACAAGAATTTGTGAACAATGTTGAGAAGAAATTTTTGCATATTTTCCATAGTGCAACTGAACTGGTAAGTGTTTCCAATGGTCTGTGTTTCCTTTGTTTCACAGTCTTGAGGCAGCAAGCATCCTGTGGCCAAGTGAAAATCCACTGAGGCGGACAGATCCCTCATTAACCTGACCCGCAGAGCCTGTCATACAGGCAGACCAAAACGATGCTTCTTTTTCTTAACAGACTTTAAATTAGTCAGTCTCCTAAGATCCTCTTCCACATCAGATTCCTCCATTTCATCATCTGCTGAAATCAGAATCTAAAAAACAAAAAGACGTGTAGTTAAAATTACACCAAATTTCACATCTTTAAAGAGTGAACTGATAGCTCAAGAAACATTTTGATCTTAAAAGTAACTTCTAACTTTACTTTTTATGATTTCTCAAAGTATAATTTAAACTGGTTATTTTCTCTGAATATATTGGCGGTAACTAAAGGAATTTAGTTTATAAGTATATGTGAATATTTTTTTCTACTAAAAGTGACTTAGGATATACTAAGAAGTTGAAATATCAATATGGTGCAGAAAGACAGAGAGACACAAAGACTCTGATTTTATAACCTGAGCAGTTCAGATAAATAATGCTAAGGGAATTTGGGGCAAGATGTGATCTTTGCCTGATTCAGGAAGATAAATTATAGGTTTCTACTGAAAACATCCTTGGACGATCAGAAGTTCTAGGTGATTGCAATCGAGTTTCAAACATTTAGTTTCTGGGAAAGTTGATTAAGAAATGGTACCTTACCATTCGAGCTGTGAGCATGCAAGCTGGCCTGCCACTCACATGACTGGTTCCTCTCTCCCTCCCCCAGCCAGGCTACCAAGTTGCAAAGATTGGGGACCATTGTACTAGAATATGTTAAGGCAGGGCTTTTATTGACATAGAACGCACTGGAACGGAGTTCCGGCACCTTTTTTCAATGGATTTTCCAGAGTTGCGTTTTCTTATTATTTCCCTTCCTATCCTCATTTGTTTTTGAAAATGCCCCACTGGTGGTATGGTGTGAGCAGGGTCCCCTCTGGCGCTGTCTGCCTCCTCTATGAGGAGCCATGAGGTGCCGGAGCACCATAGCCAGAGCGTGGCTTGATTAGCTGGGTCGGACCATGTGGTGTGGAAGCCGATGTTGCCCGTGGGAGACACATAAACATGGAGGTCATCCTTCACAAGAGAGTGTGTCTTTTGCCTTCCCTTACAGAAGATGGGGTGTGAGGTTAAAAAGAGGCGAAGCAAGAGGAAAGAAAGGCCGCTGGCATGGAAGGTTGCCCGATAGCGAAACTTTGTTGTTTTAGTTCCTTGGGTAGTTCAAAGGCTGTGATGTCTACGAAAATCTCTTTTTAGTCTTTTATACTTTATATTCAAACTGCAGAGGGGAAGAATAAGAATAAAGCCAATGTCTTGTGATTTGGAAGTATTATTATTAATAATAATATATATTATGTATTGGTCAGATGTAAAGGTAGACCTTCAGTATGAGGTTTAATCAGATCTATTTATTAAATTGGGTTTAACTTAAAGGTAAATTAAAAGTAATCTGTTCACTGACAAGTTTCAACTTTAATTTGTTTCAAGTCAATATCCATATCAAACTCCAAATGTAAATTTTTCCACCTTGTTTGACAACTTCTTAAAAATAATTCAATCTTTTACAAGCAACCAAATTTTGTTTTGCTGGGCCAATTTCATTCCACATAGAAAGCTGACATTTCCACTCATTAAAGTAAATGCATATGCCAATGGTAAATGTCCCAAAAGATTAATAAAATGCCTTCTTGTAATTTAAAGTCACACAGTGCATGGTAACATTAATAGTATTAACTTACCTTGAACAAAATCCTAGTCTTTTAGATACACTAAACATTGAAGGGTTTTTTTTCCAACTACAAAGGTAAACCTTGTAGGGTAGGCAAGGTGGGTTGTATGATTTGTGTGAGTTCCGGCACTTTTTTTTTTTTTTTTACAAAAAAAGCACTGTGTTAAGGTATATATCAAAAGCAGCTATACCCTATGAACATAATTGCTATTTGTTACTAGGAACTTAGTCTCTGTAACTGAGTAGCATGCTGCTTTGAATGCTGTTGTAGTTCAATGAAAGAAAAGTCAAAAGTCTGAAAGTTCTCAGTTGTTACTGGATGATCTTGCAAGGAGCATGTCTGCATTGTTATGTTTAGTGAACCAACTATGATTACTCCTGTAACCACTAAGCTACTATTCAGTGTAAGGTACAGAGTTTATATAATGCCATCTATGAACAAGTTGCACAGGTTGACAATTACTTATTGGACACATTTAAGATACTGGTGTTAATATTTCAACCCTGCAATACTTTGGGTCCTGGATATTTGAATGCTACTCTTCCCCATTAGAGGCATGTCAGGCCTTTAAAATCAGCCTTTCTGAAGATGCCCTTGCTGTTGGAGGCACATTTACTGGTATTCTAATTGTCAGTAATTGGTAGATTCTGTAGCTACTCATTATACCTTAAGGCACAGGTGTCAAACTCACCGTATCACGTGATGTGCTGTGACATATAGCAACTTTTTTCGCATTGCCGGAGCTGAGGTGGGCAAAGCCTTCGCATCATGCAACTGACCCACGGGCCGGCAGTCTGACACCCCTATCTTAAGGAGAAGACCCAAGTTGCACGTCATTTGCCAGATTTTAAGTGTGAACTGAAGTCTGCTTTCAAATTTTTACTTCTTTATTTATTTCCCATGGTTGCCTTGATGCTCAAAATGAACAGAAAACAGGGGAATATATATATATATTTAAAAAAAATAGAACTTGCCTCTGACTCCGATTCCTCATGTGATGCTGCTCTCCTGTATCGGATTTTGCTCCCATTTCTTGAATCTTGATTTGATTCTTTTTCTTCAAGTTTAGCTTTTGTCTTTCCTTTCTTCATAAGGAAGTTATCAACAACCCAAAACATTAATGCCTATTAAAAAGGAAAAGTCGTGTTAAGCTCCCCCTTATCTTTCATACTCAGTTTCATACTGAGTCATGAGATTCAAGGGATTTACAGTATAGAAATATCTATCTAAATATACACAATTACATGGGTCATTAAGAAAGATGGAATCATAAAACTGAAGTTCAGTAGACTTTTTGTCAGGTTCATACCCACAAAAAATAAAAAAAGAATTCAATAGCTATTCAATAACTTTTAATTTGCAAGTGGTACAAAAGTCTTTCTTTTATGTCCATAAAAGTGTGGCATCTATATATTGGAAAGAACTGAAGAAGTCGAAGACTAACAAAATGCATTAAAAAAAAACTATTTGTAAATTGTGTTATAGAATCTTTAAATATAAAATCCTGCTTTGGCAAAAAGCCAAAGCAACTATTTAAAAAAACCATTGGCACAATAAAAAATCTCTAGAATGCAAAATAAACGTATTGCAGATAACATTTTTAAATTGTAGCTATTGTTTCATGAATGTGCATGTAAACTCCTGAACCAGCATGCAGAACCACAAATCAGGAATCTCTCTTTCGACTTTAACAATCATTCCTGGCCACATGGAGGATATGACCACAATGAAAGAACAAACAAGCAACTGAACATCTTTGCAGGATTCATTTAGTCCCTATTTTTTTAGATCTGCAGAGATAAAAATATCTGAAAGTATCCTAAAGTTCTGTTTCCAGATGTTTAAAATGTAAACAATTCAGCTAATGATAGATGAGATTTTAGCTGCTTCAGCCCTTTTAATTTAATTTCCCTTTTTCTTTTGTCTTTTTGTTTTATTGTTGTGTTTATAAATATTGAAGTTGTGTTTCTCTTTAATGAAACTGATTCATTTGTATATTTATTTTGTGAGCTAATTTAGCATCAACTAATAATTATTTCCGTTCATGAAAGTAAAATGAAGGAGGTAACTACAATTATTTTCTTTTGTATTTTTCTTAAAATCACAAACATAAAGTACAATTAACATTTTTAAAAAGTTGGTTTGTTTATGCAGGAATAATCTAATACCCCTGCATGCATTAAATATGAGGTTCACAAACTGCACATCAGAAATAATTAGCATTGTAAGAACTAAACAAGTCCAGCTTATGTGGCTAGCATATAGGTCTTTTGGATGTTGCCACTATATATATCTGGACTCCAAATATTGCAAAACAGATCAAATATTCAGAAGATATCATTTATACCAACATTTACAAAGAAGGGGACTATCAGCATCACAATAGCCAACTCCAATTGAGGATTTTCTATAGGATTCAACAAAGCTATCTGGAAAGAGGAAAAATATGTTAATATCATAGAATTACATACATATACAACAAAGTTCTGAGCTTATACTGGCTCTATGTGAAGTAGTAGATTAATGAGACAATTGGGAAGAATAAATTGGGCAGAAAATAATGCTTTAGATCAACAAAATTAAAAATGGGTTCTTTAGTACATTACAAATTGGGGTTGCTTCCTTTTAAAACAGGAATGTACATGATTTAAATGCTGGTACAAAAAGGTGAATATTAATATTACCATGCTTTAATCTGGTAAACAGCAGTTAAAATCACATTATTGATTTTTAATTCCTTGAACAATATAGCCTCGCTGTTAAAGTTATCCAGATCATAGCATCAACTTTCCTACCAGTTTCATGCAAGTTTTGCTCAGTAAATATTAATCTGAAAAGGAAAGAGAAATAACTCATCTGTATTCCTTCTGTTTTAATTTATGGCATGGAATGATTTAAGTTCCCAACATTGATGCACAGGGACAATGAACTGTCCTTTAGAGCAGAGATTTCATGTTTTACCCAATTATTTACTTAGACCACGGGTGTCAAACTTGCTGTGTCAAGTGACATATCACGATGTATCGCGACTTTTTTTTGCATTTCCAGAGCTAGGGTGGGCGCGGCCTCCATATGATACTATCAGCCTATAGGCCGGCAGTTTGACACCCCTACATATTTTATCATTTGTCTTATAATTTGTGTTGTTTACTAGAAATGAGAAATATAAATTGCTATTATACAGTGATAATTTGTATATGTGTGTATTTTATTCAGAAAACGTTTCTGGAGAAAAAAGTGAGAAATGAAAGAACATCTAATGTAGAGAATGAAAAAAAAATTAATCCACTAAATATATTGCTATAATTTAGAATTCACATAGAATGAAATCTACCTAAGCATAAGAGCTGTCAACAAATGCAGTTCCAGTCAGGGCAATGTCTAGCCTCTGCCTGGACGTTTCATGTCAAAGGGAAATTACTGCTCCCCTGGGTAACTGACTTCACTCAGCAAGTTTCCCCAACTTTCAGCTGGAATCTGCCTTCTTAAATTTAACATTGTTTTACTGATCTGAACAGAAGCACAGCTATATTTTAATAATGCAGTAAAATCAGGGCATTATCCTGATTGTTAAGGATAATCAAAGGCTTAGTTATGATTTTTTAAACTTTTATTAATGCAATCTTCTTCAGTATGATATTTTTCAACTGTGTTGGACTACGTCTTCCATTCCCTGAACATGGCATTGAGAGCTAGAGGACCAAATTGGAGAACAGAGCACTTGCGTACACACACACACACACACACACACACAAAAATACATTGCTAATTCATTTATTATTGAGTGTAGTTTAAAAAAAAGAAACAAAAAACTTCAAGATTCAAACCTCTTTCCACTGAGGTATTAGGAGCACTATAATTATGATCGTTTTCTCAAACATCATGATAATTATGTACAATGCACACTGGCCTACCCAAGCACGGCATTGCAATGGGTCCCCTGCAAAGGAAAACACAAATGGTTAATACCGTCGGCTAAACAAGCCAACAACTGTGTTGACATACATCACAAAATTCTGCACAACAATCAATGTGTTGGTCATCATAAAGCAGATAAACTTTAGATGTGAGTAATCATCTTTATACTAGAATTTTATTTATTGATTTAATTTGCATAGCCACCCTTCTCACCTAAGTGGCTTTGGACAGCTCATAAGAATCCTATGAGTTATCAGTTATAGTCTGAAATAACCATGCACAGTATTTCAGAATTCTGAGTCCTAGAATTTGAGTTCTAGAATTCAAATTCCTTTGTTAGATCCCCTTCCTTACTAACTACAAGCTTTCCTCATTTCAGATGAGTAAGTATGAATAGGAATTACTTTGTTACTTTTATTGTTAAACAATTGGGACTAAAAAAAAAGGTTTGCAAAGTCACTGCAAATCATTCAAAGACATACTTGAAAAATCCAGGTTTACTTTCCATTTATACATGTCTTAAGGGAGACTACTTAATCTGCTTTGTTTGTGTGCATGGATGTGAACAATGTTGTATACATTTGTTTCATGAGTGCAGAAATTAAATCTGAACAGCACAAAAGTAGAAATACTATTTTTCCATCTAGAATCCCTTGTTTATTTGAATTTACATGGCTATAAATCTCAGCCATTCAAATCTGGGTAGTTAACAGGAATTAAAGGACAATATGAATACAATGTAATAATAACAACAACAATAATAATCTGCAATACCAGGTGATGCACGAATTGAAGAGAAATAGCTAGGAAAAAATATATCTGTCAGTGATATTTAGTGGTAATGAGTGTTAATCTCAAGAATGGAAGGCAACCTATCAATTGTTGCAGAGCAAAAATGAGGATATACTGCTTAAGGGACATCTGGTAGATTAAATGTAGCAACTGAATATGGAACTGAATTGATTCTGATAAGGTCAGAAGGACCTTTCTTATGTCTTTATGTAATGGTCCATAAGATTTCCTTCACTTTTGGAGATGGAAAGACATAAATAGTACATTTATTTCAAATTACTTATTACAATACTTAAACTATGTCACCTCTGACTGGTATCAAGATTGATATGGCATATTTGCCTATCGAAAATGTGTTGTGTTGGCTATTCAAAACTTGTCTTTAATATTTGAATCAGACAAATATTCAATCTTGAATATTCTTGAAGTTCTCAGAAAAAGTTTTGTAATTCCATTTAAAATTAAACTTTTTGTTCTTGTGTATGTCTTCAAATGTATTTGCTACTCTGAATAAAAGATTGCTGAACTGTAACTCAATTTTAAAGATTAACTGAAATCATTGTAGAATTCTTTAGTGATTTTAATCACTGAACAATAAAAAAAGCATATTTTTCTGAAGAATAAAAAAATCTGTAAAAAAATCTGGCTGAGGGCTAGGGTAACATGGAAAAGAATCAAAAGAAGAAACAAGTTACCAGCAACAAGAGAAAAATTTAAAATTTGCAAAGGTAATTTAATATGCTATATGTTAATTACAATGGCATCAGATCTACACATTAGCTACCGTTGACAAAACTTTTTTTCTCCCTAAACACTTCAAATGCAGACATATAGCTCAATTCAAAAACTAAGCAATGAAAAAAATCAAATACTTTTAAACAGCTGTAATGCAAAATGGATCTCAGCCATTTCCTTTTCTGGAGAGGCTTTAAAAGACATAGTCCAGATAGTTTACTAGCTAGTCTTGATGTTTATATTGTTTATATCTGTGCTGTATGATATTTAACCATTTCAACAATTTCTGATAAAAAATTCTAAGTTAAAAAATTAACTTTTATCTGATAGTCTGATTACAATGACAACAACAACTTTATTGGCACTTTGAATGTACAACAATCGGCATACATCAAAATGACATTTCACTGCATACAGCTCTCAAAGGGTCACCACCTCCGATATACACTCCTTGTTCATGGCCAGCTCAAGTTTCAGATCGTCCATCTTAGTCTCTAGGGAGCGAACATGGCAAACATAACAGATGGAAACAGAGCTCTTCAAATTAGCTTGTATTCCTGCACGTCTCCTTTCCTTTTTCTGATCCTGTCTCTTCCACCTTTTGCTTAAAGAGGCCTTGCTTCTTTTCGCCCCTGGAGCACACTGCCGCCACCACCAACTCCTCCAAAAGCTTCTTTCCCTTTTCTCTGGGCCTGCAGATAGCCTCATCCAGTTCCTTTGCTCCATAAACCCTGGGATCTTTCCTCCTCTGCCTCCTTTGGAAACAGCCCTGATTTGCAATAGAATCCGTCGCTGGGCCAGCAGTCAGATCTTGCTGCCGGCAGAACAATTTCAAACAGTGCCAACAACTTTTAACAGTCTCACCAACAGTTCCGAAACAGCTAGAAACTTGCCATGCCAGCAAAGATTGTTGGTCGTATGTTACCTTAGTTCCACCATGTTCCTCAAACACATTAAAACCTTCCCAATCATGTGGCCTATATCTCTTACATCCCTCCCAAAACTTTTCACCTTCGAGAGCCAATGCAGCCGCAGCCAATCCAGGCGTCGCCATCTTGGAACTCTAAGTGATATATAGTGGTACTTAAAAAGTTTTCACATAAGTCCTAAAGCTAGATAAAGAGAACACAGTTAAACAAAAGAGCCAAAAGATTGTACTTGACTGATACTGATCCAAAGCTACATATCTGTGTGTAGGGGGTGGGGTGGGGAAAATATCTGAACCTTTAGGGTTATCAGTTCATTTGAAGGGGGAATCACAGCCAGGTACCTCTAGAATCAATCAATGGATGATAATGAGGGGTGACCATAAGAGGTCCTACCTCCGTGATGGCGAACCTATGGCACGCGTGCCACAGGTGGCATGCAGAGCCCTCTCTGTGGGCACACGCACCATTGCCCCAGTCCTAGGCCTTCAGCTGGGTTTTATAAAATCTTTTCACTTTAGGCCTCCACCGCCTTGTGCAAAAAAAAAAAAAAAAAGTTTCAAGCAATCAATCAATTTCAACTTCTTGCAGGAAAAAAAATCTTGCAAAGTTGGAATCGATTGATTGAACTTTTTAGTCCCACCCGGTCTGCTGTTACCACGGCAGCCTTGCCCACCCAATGGGCCACACCCACCCGGTACCCGATGATACATAAGTGGGTTTTGGGTTGCAGTTTGGGCACTCGGTCTCTAAAAGGTTCGCCATCACTGTCCTACCTTATTTAAAGAGCAGGAGTCTGGGTATTCACTGTCTCATCTTGAAAACACAGGTACGTAGAATTGTGTCATGGTTTCAACAAAGGAGACTTTTGAGGATCTCCCAAATATAATTGTTGATGCTAACCAGGCTGGAAAATGTTACAAAACTATTTCCAAAGAATTTGGACTCCACCAGTCTACTGCCAGGTTGCTCTTGTACAAAGAAAGGAACAATTATTGTCTTTATAGCAGGTGCTGCCCTTTGCTTTTCAATCTCTGAAGGTGTGGGCAGTGACAGAGATTTGGAGGTACCAGTTTTAGTATTATCATTTTTGTAGAAACAACGAATTCTTAAATGAAAGCTGCAATACTTCCAGTAATTTCCTGACAGTAATTTCACTGAACTCAGTGGGACCAATTTCCAAAAAGTATGGACTGGAATAGAAGATAAACCAACTTTTGGAGTATATCCTATCACTGAAAACACAGCAAAACAAACAGGCCTCCAGCTTTAGAAAATTAAACATAATTCATGCGTTATAGAACTCCTACGTGGAAATTGCCTCTATAATAGAGAACAGACAAAAAAAAAAAATCACATCTAGTAATAGTAATAGTAGTAAAGTTGGAAGGGACCTTGGAGGTCATCTAGTCCAACTCCCTGCTCGGGCAGGAAACCCTACACCATTTCGGACAAATGGCTGTCCAGTCTCTTCTTAAAAACTTCCAGTGTTGGAGCATTTACTGCTTCTGGAGGCAAGCTGTTCCACTGATTAATTGTTCTCACTGTCAGGAAGTTTCTCCTTAGTTCTAGGTTGCTTCTCTCCTTGATGAGTTTCCACATCTCTCTGTGATCCTTTTTTATCTTCGGTTTGCCTTAATTTCACATGCTCAAAAGCACATTTGGCAAACTACAACAATTTCAGCTTTCAGTAGAACAGAAGAAACAATTTTCTTTTCTTTGGGAGAAGTCAAGCTTAAAGATGATTCTAAGAAACTAAATCTTGGTAACTGAATCTGTTACTCTTACCATTTTGTTTATTTATGCCTCATGGCACATCACTATCTTATTTGTAAAGCACACTGGAGCTTATTATGGTGCTTAGAAAAATATGAAAAAGCGAAAATCAATTATTTCAATATTTGCACACCAACTTTACTTTTTAAAACTAAGAATGGTTAATACTAAAAGTCCCTTTCTCTTTCTGAAATGTCAGTTCCTTTTGCTATTGGGATTCCCCTACTAGACTAATGTTGTATTAAATAGGTTGGAAAGCCAAAGCAAAAATTAAGCTTATCACATCACATCATGACAGAAACACTCTTATGCCTCCCCATCCTTTCTATTGTAAAAATATGCAAAATTGGATGGAACTTATTAAAGAGAGATATAGCAATCAACATAAAGTATGGCTTTAAATTAGGAATAGACTTGTAAATCATTTTCTAAGATTGAAAACCAAGAAAAATGCAAAATGAGACATCTCAACCAACGCAAAGGAATTGATGTTTAATCTGCTCAGTTTTATGTTTATAAGATATACGTTCTGCACAGCACAACTGAATTGGCTACTAACACCTCCACTGACTAACAGTGGATTAAGAAACCAGATTATAAAACTGCTTTTTACTTTAAAGTCCAGTGAGTTTATTGAGAACAGAAACAACACTCTTCCACTCTTTTAAGCATGCTTGTCAGTTTGGGAGGGAGTTAGACGATTGTACCCAGGCATCTTCCAGATTTGTGAAACCATTACTGATCCTAATCAATGCTGGTGGATCTATTTCAAATTCAAGTTAACTAAAATGAA